AGAAGCGGATGTTTTTACCATTTATTGATAAGTATACATTATTCGGCAATTTATGATCATAATTGGTAGGGAGTCGTTTTAATTCGAGTAAACGTGAATATTTCGTTAACACATGAAAAAAATAACAGACATTAGTAACTTTGGGTTAAATAGTAGGTCGATAATATGTATGAATATATTAGTATTATCGTTTCATTAATTATATGGCTAAAGGTCGTTTTACATCTCTAATAAATGTCATGATAACTAAAGATAAGATTGAATTACTCTAATTATTTTTCAAAATAGAACGATAATAAATATAGTTTCGCTAATCATTTATTCGTATATTGAATTTTTTGATCAATTTGAGTTTGGGCTTATTAGTAATAAATATCAATTTACTACATGCGTATATTGCATATTTATCTGCATGTTTTTAAATGTGACAATTTCTTTTTTGCGTGTATTTATTAGTTTGTAAGCTGACTATGCCAAAATTAAATAGTAAATTTTTTTATATACCGCATCTAGGTATCCAGATTTGTGCAATTTTAAAATGTATTTTTATGCGATATAAGAAATTCTTACTATGCAATATCAATGCAAATAAAAAATTGTGAACGATAAACATATTAATAGTGTTAAAACATTGATATTTAGTAATTAGCAAAAAATAATATTATGTGCATTAATCTTTATTATATTGATATTGATCAATATTGTTTTTTGCACTAGTTACATTAAAATAGTTTAATCTGATGCAGATTCAAATTTGATGTATCTATATAAATATTCATTTTAATATCTGTATGCTTTGTCTAACTTTGTAATTTGGTTGGATAGATTAATACACGTCACTCTCGATATAACGGACTCTTGGTATAATGGAGGCTAAGTAAAATCTTTATATAGTGGATCAAGATTCAGATCCACATCATAATAAATACTACTTGATATAATGGATTTACTATTAAAACTCATGATAAAGCGGATTTTAAAAAATTCCTCATTATGTGCCCGAGGTACTACGTTATATCGAGAGTAACGAGTATCACTATATATCTAGTAGTTATATGCCTTTAACATAATATTATGGTCAGTTTCAGATCACCACGACTCAATAATCAAAACACAACAAAACTTAAAACGCAGTGAAACCTACTCAAAAAACAAGGAAGATTGGTTTGAGAACCATGTCTCTATTGTCGGAATCTATGGCTAACAATACTTATTTACATGACTATGAATTTTACTTATATTATTCAATATCTATGCTTGCTTCATCCAAAACCTGAAACAGCATTTGTTAATGCTATCTCACTTGCCGACCATTGAACATTAAAGGTCCTAGGCCTGTGGTTCAAGTCACATGTTCTTATTCACGGTCTTGGTCATATACTTGAGGTCAAATCATATTTCCCGTTACAGCGGGTTACAACGTGTTTTGCTAGTTATAGAATTATTATAAATAATATTATTATAAGATTATAATAAGATTATTTAAGATATTATAAGATGAATATTTATAATTTATATGGAAGTTATTGATATCTGGAGTGCCATATCTCAATAAATTGACTAAGAAACAGAGGTCAGGTAGGTTAAGTAAAAATGTTCAGAACCCCAAAAAACTTGTGTAATCTAAAATTGAACTATTATATTTAACTCCTGTTTCGGTATTAAACTGCATCCTAACCCTAAATTTGATAAAAAAAACTAAAAACAATTATAAAATAGAGGGTTAACAATAACACTCAGTATAAACTACATTTTTCTTATAAGATTATTACAAGATCATTATGAGATTGTTTTAAGATTATTATAAGATTATCATAAGATTATGAAGAGTACTATAAGATTATTATATGATATAATTTTATAATATTATTATGATCTTTAAGATATAATAAATAAATAAAAAAAATTTGTAAAGTATGTGACAGTGTTTACTATATAAAAAATCATATCACACTAGCATTATACTCAGCACTATACGGTAGGTCTATAAACCAAATCCGATCATCTGTATTTCCTTTTCCACTCTTTAAAATCTAGCAAGGGCTGCATACACCTTCGTTCATTAATCATTTTATCTAACAAACTATATTTTATAGGTTTTTTCAGAATATCATTACACCCTGCGGCCAGAATATTTTGCTTGTCGGATGCTAAAGATGATGATGCTATTGTTAAGGCTATTATGAAGACTGGTGAACTTAAAGTAGGTGTAGAGAATGAATTTGATAATGGTAGTGATGAGGTGGGAAATGTCGGTGGTGTGGAAGAAAAGACACCTATCTTTTGTGATCTTTCTAGGCGTCTAATTGTTTTCGTAGCTTCTATCCCATTCATTACTGGCATTTGGATATCCATCTAAAATAAGATTTGAAAATAAATGTTTGCAAATATGTATCATAATATATATTAAATATTACTTACCAAGATAAAATTGAATCCTCCTTTTTTCCATTTATCAACGGCTTCTTGACCATTAGAAGCACAATCGTATTTGATATTCTTCTTTATCATAAATTTTGATAAAATTTTTTGGTTAATTATGTTGTCTATAATAATAATAATAATAATCAAATGACATTAGAATTCTATAACTATATAAAAAAATTCATTAATAACTGTTTAATATTATATCAATATTAACCGTCTACGATTAATACATTGGTTGGTGGGATCACATAACAAATATTAGATTTGTTTTCAAATATTCGACTTGCTGGTGCTTTCTCCTTTTTCAGAGTTGGTATTAATGAACTTTGCACAGGAGAAATTTGTTGCAGAGTTGTCGGTGTTTGTGATATAAAATGATTAGCGTCATTAGTAACTGATTCCGGAATAGTAGCAGCTTTTACATCAAAAGATGAAGTCATAACAGGTTTATTTGGTTGATTAGTGGGGATCATCACTACGCAACTAGGCTCGGTATACAATGAATTAGAACTTGGCGTAATCCATTTAGAACTACTAATTGATGGGTTGGGTGACTGTGCTGATGCATGATCTGGTGGAAAATATTGGCCATTATGTGATTCTGTTGTCTGATCCATCGGATTAACTTTCGTGTCGGTATAATATTGCGAACCTGGACTCATAGGTGATGTGGCAATTGACTTAAAATTTTCAGGTGCTTCCTTTTTCATGTCTTCAATGCTCCTATCTTGCGGTGAAATGTTTATATTCATTATATCAGACAAATTAAATGTAGATAATTTTGTAACGCCGTGTGAATTTACAGGTACGTTTGAATTATCTTGAGACGAAGTATCGCTATTTTGAGTCGATGTTCCAATGAGATGGTGCTGACTCAAAGTTTCATTAGGGTTAAGTTGTTTCAACGTATTGAGAATTTCTTTCATTTTTGGACGACTGACAGAATCGCTGTCCCAACATTGACCGTAAAGTTCAAAATATTGAGAGGGTGCATCATATGTCAGCATTCCATGAACACTTAAGCTTGACGTCATAGATTTTTCGCTCATATGTTTTGATAGTCCAAATTCCGCAAGTTTCGGTTGATTTTTATGAATTAAAATATTCTTAGAATGCTAAATCATGAAAATATGTTAGTGAATTAATAAATATAAAACTCACGAAATCCAGTATAGTCTATATACTTACAAGGATTCTGTGAATAATATCATTATCATGTAAAAATAGAAGTCCAAATGCTATTTCTTTAGTAGTGTAAAGTTTATCAGTCCACTTCAATCTTCCATCATTAGTAGATTGTAAAACAATATTATAATATTTGTTGATATCTATGTATTAGTAATAAGTAAATATTTTTTTAATGATTATTATTTCCAAATGAAAAATTGCAATGCTTGTTTTCATATTTAGCAGTTTAGCAGTTTAATTAGCTGTGAATATAATGTTTTTTTTGCATACCTTTCATGACACCGTAAGATGTAATAATATTTTGGTGATTAGAAACTCTTTGTGATAGTTTAAGCTAATTGAATTGTAAAAATTATTTGCATAACTGTACTATATTAAGAAGCAATTAAAGTTTTTATATACCTCGTTAATAAAATCTTTAATAGTATTTCCATTTAAAAAACTTGTGTTGACTATAAGACATTTATAAGCAACTGTTAATTTACTGTCTTCCCGTTCGTATCTAAAAACTATTCCAAAACCTTTAGATCTAATCTTTGTGGAATCAGTAAATTTATTAGAAATAGCTTTTTCAACCCATCCTTTTGGTGTATTTGCCATGACTTTCGAACATTATGTACGTAAGTACCTACGCGCATGCCCTTTATACTCACTCACTAGTGATGCAGGGGAATCAATTGTGGAATTGACGATCATGAATATTTTAAAACTTAGCACCTTCGATTTTTAATTAAAATTATAGTCATGGTTAGATATAGGCTAGGAGATTGGTAGATATATAGTAACATCGCATTTCCGACACTTTTACTTAGTACATCAAGACCGGTTTAGATAGGCATTTTTTATATTTTCGTGTTTTTGTCTTTGTCGGTTGTTTGGAATAATCAGACGCATATCGGTAATTTGTAAGGTTCCAGGCTTTAAACGACCTCTAAGTTTAGTAAATTCAACAATTCCGCACCTGTGGAATTATGGAAATGACGTAATTTCAAGTATGGGTTGCCGATCGACTGTGAAATTGCAGATCGCCTGTGGAATGACGTAATCATGCAGTATTGACGTCATTGTGTGTACCGTAAAACGCCGTATAAGGTACCCGGGTATCTTACAATTCACATGATAAAAATTTGATTTGTACCCCCCGGG